GCTAAAACAAACAGCCGATTTCTCCAAATTCACCCGCTGACCACTCAGTTCCTCATACTCATTCAAAACTTCAATCAAATTCTCACATTCCTGGAGAGTACCTCGCAGAAAAAGATAAGAATCATTAGAAAAGAAAAGATGAGAGATCCGGGGCGCACGAGGAGCCACCTTTACTCCTCCCAATCGGTCATCTAGGATAGCTTTCCGAAGGAGCGCCGCAAAACCCTCAGTACAGAGCACAAATAAGAGTGGGGACAACGGATCCCCTTGCCGCAGCCCTCTGGATGATGTGAAATATCCTGAGGGGGTACCATTCATGAGGACAGAGAAAGAAGCGGACCGCAGACATTCCTGAATCCAACCGCGCCAGGTAGAATTAAAGCCCATTTTCTCCAAAACTGCTAGAGGAAAAGTCCATTCTACTCTATCATAGGCCTTTTCCATGTCAACCTTAAGAGCCATGTAACCTTTCTTACCCCGCGTCTTGATTTTCAAATAGTGCATTAACTCATGACCCAAGAGATTATTCTCAACAATCTGTCGGTCCCTGATAAACGCATTCTGTCTCTCGGAAACAATTTGCGGCAAGAGACCAGCAAGACGTTCCACCATAATCTTGGTAATAATTTTATAAACGAACTGGCAAAGGCTAATAGGACGCAATTGCCGCATAGATTCCACCGCATCAACCTTCGGGATTAAAGTGAGCCAAGTGTGATTGAAACTACGGAGCAGGCGACTTGTCGCAAAGAAAGAACACACCGCGTCCACCACCGACGGACCCACAACATCCCAGAAGGTTTTGAAAAATTTGCCAGTGAACCCATCCGACCCAGGCGCCTGTTTCGATCCCATTGCAAACACCGTTCGACGAACCTCACTAGGGAGGACTTCAGCCGTCAGGCTAGCGTTCATCTCAGAAGTGACCTTTCGAGCAATCGGCAAAGCCGCCACACGATCCGCCATGTTAGCCACCTGATTCTCCGAGGAGAAGAGGTGCTGATAGAACGATGTTGCAATGCTAGCCTTACCACTTTCATCCGTAACCCACTCCCCGGCCTCATTACGTAGGCCCTCCACAAAATTCTTTTTACGCCGAACTCTGGTTACAGTATGAAAATAAGCAGTATTTTTATCACCCTTTTTCAGCCAGTGGACCCTTGATTTTTGCTGCCAGTAAGCCTCCTCCGCCTCCCACTGCCAATTTAATTCCATCTCCAGATCACGAACCACATCCCAGACAATAGGGTGGACGTTTTTAATCCTCTCAATTTCACTCTGAAGAGTTCTGATGTTCCTCAACGAATTGGTAGTGCCTGCCCTACTCCAGTCATATAACAAATGACGGAGACGCTTAAGACGTTCCCAAAGACAGAACATCGGCGTTCCCTGAATATCCTCCTGCCAGACGTAACAAACCATGGCCCGAACCTCCGGGTTATCCGCCCACCGGGCATCAAACCGGAACAGGGGGCAGCTGTTACGAGCGTAGGGTTTATCCGAGAGAAGAAGCGCACGATGGTCAGATCCTTGGTCCGTAAAATGCTTGACCAAGGTCTCAGGGAACTGGTCCACCCAAGTCTGCGAGCAAAGGGCCCTATCCAGCCGTTCTCGAATGCATGCGAGACCCATCCTACTATTGGTCCAAGTGAATGGATCACCAAGGAAACCGGGATCATGCAGACCAAGATCTTGAATAAAATCTCGCAGACTGATCGACTAAGCAGCGTTCCAGGGGTTCCCACCATTTTTTTCGCTCATATGTAGGGTAGTATTGAAATCCCCAATTACCACAAAAGGTAGTGTGAGGGAAGCGCAAAATTCGCGAAGGTGGGCCAACTGGCCTGCTCGAACACCAGAATGACAGCTCATATAAACACAAACCACAATATAAGAAAAATTCTCTTCATTAATCTGGGAGCAAATACAGAAATTGGAATGATAAATCACCGAAGCATCAACTCCGGGGGACCAAGCTACAACTAAACCACCGGACGCATCAATTGCATCCACAAAAAACCACTGGGAAAGATCAAATCCTAACCCCCGCATACGACGGGAAACAACACGCTGACTCGATCGTGTTTCAGAGAAAAACACAAGATCCGGCTTATTCGAACGAACTAAACCTACAGCAGTTTGGAATGTGAGGGACGGTCCAATTCCTCTCACATTCCAAGCGAGAAGCTTCATTTATCGGCCTAGGGCCATTCCAGGCTGGCTTCCTCCACCTTTTCCTTATCATAGACATCAGCAGCCTCCACAAAATGCCTCTTTGGCGTGGGGGGGGGGGGGGGGAACCAACCTCCCCCTCAACAGCTTCCAAAGATCGTTTGCGGGAATCCATAGCTGGATTGGTCATATTAGACCCATATTCATCAAACTCCTCGACCCCTTCTTCAAGCACCCCTTTATTCGACCCCTTCGAACCAGCAACATCCTCTCTGTCCCAGCACACTTTCATTTTCTCCTGATCAATAGCAAGTCCAGCCTAAAAAAA